AAAATGGTGTTTTATTGAATGCCGTACGACCGATAATTCCGAAGATATCATTTTTTTAAAAGTCCAGTTATCGTAATACATAAGCGATCGTGATCGTAAGGAAAGAAGCTACCGTAAACATTGGCCTAGTTTACATCGTGCACTTGATACGGGTACTAACTAGTAACTTTCTATTAAACTATTTTAATTTCAGCGACGTATTCAAAGAATGATGTGCTAAATTGGTACAGTATGCATTAAAATGATTAATTAAATACATATTTTATATATATGTTTTCACGTATCGCCGAAATTAAAATAAGTCAATAGAAAGTTACTAGTATTCGAATGTACGTGACCGGATAAAACCTCCGGTTGTAAAAATTATTTTTTAAATTATTATTTAAATCGTTTGTATTTCGAATTTGTATTTCGAAGTTTTGAAGTGCAAATAAATTCTATTAATTACAATTAATCATTCTTTTTTGGACCATGTACTTGACCGAAATAATTAATCGGATTTAAATTCAACAAAGTTTATACATGGAATCGTTTGTATTTCGTATGAAGAGTTATGAAGTACCATTAAAAACATTTGTGAGTCATCCCGACATTTTTAATTAAATATTAAAATATCATGTATTCGATTGAAATATAGATACAGGCGCTACGGTCACGGAAATTCCGCTAGATGCGATAGATAGTCTCTCGAGTATTTCGATATTCTTGGTTTTTTCTATGATATGACAGTCATAACAATAACATAATATTTAATTAATATTTGTGTCATATAACCTGAAAGGACAGATTGAAGACAATTTTTTATCGCCAGTCGGCGATTCACTGCAAAAAAAAATTTAATTGTTGCAGTAGATGGATTCACGAGAATCGTTCATCAAATGATTAACATTTATTTAACAACAATAACAAAATTACTACGTTCAGCAGAAAAAGTAGCTTTGAAACTGTTACAAGATTCTGAGAGAGAGAGAGAGAGAGAGAGAGAGAGAAAGAGGTTAAATCGACGTCGATTCCATTGTTATTTCTCACTGAATAAGCGCTTATTGGATTACAGACGTCTAGCAGACAATTAAATCGAAATGGCGGTCAAAACAGCCAATAGGAAGATAATGCAGACGGTTTTAGGATCTCCTTAACCCCGGATCTACAATAGAGTTTTAAGTCCATAAGAAATGGACGAATCCTAGTCGATTATTCTCCTCGAATTCGACTGTGATTGGTCAATTTCTTACGACTTAAGGCTTAAAACACCTATTGTAGATCCGGGGTAAAGCTGGTTCTACATTAATCGCATCGCAGCGTCGTAAGCGTGTCGCAAGCGTTGCGGTCCAATCAGAGTCGAGCTAGCGACTAATGTAAGGGCGAATTCATACCTTGACGGAAATGCAGAAAGCGGAAAAACAGCAGCCAATCAGAACTCGCACTGTTAGTCGAGTTCGATTTTTTGTATTACTTACTATCAGCGCGAGTTGTGATTAGCCACTGCTTTTCCGCTTTCTGCTTTTCCGTCAAGGTGTGAACGCGCCCTAAGGCTACGGTCCACTTGATGCTACAAATGCTTTGAAGCATTTTTTGATTGGTCAATTAGTAAATTCTTTCTTCCGATTGGTTAATCAAACGCTCGAAGCATTTGTAGCGCCAAGTGGACCGCACCCATAAAATCAACTTTAAAGGAAAGCAACCATATACTGGATTCACACTGCATCCGATTTTCGTCGTACGACGCCCTGCAACCAAT